GAGAGAGAGAGAGAGAGAGAGAGAGAGAGAGAGAGAGAGAGAGAAACACTGCATCTGCTCACTTTAAAAGCAGTTCTTGTTTCAGGACTTTAAGAAAAAAGATGCAGATCAGCTGCTCTTGTTTCCCTGCATTCCACAGTTATCCGATGTCATTCTGCCCTTGCTGTGCTAACTCAAGGATTTTCTGGGGAAAATTTCTTAATTTTTAACAGTATTATTCTTGACACCCTCCTTTGTTCCAAGAGAAGGAGATACCTTGAGCATCCTTATATTCTTTGGAACCTAAACTCTGCAAATACATCCACAATAGAATTTTACCCTGGTCTAAGGGCCATGTCATATTTGTATATTATTATTAACGACGACTAACTAATCTTTAAAGAATGGTAAAAAAATAAATAAGATTTATCTCAGAAACAGTGTTTAGAATATTTAGAATGCTGAAAGATTCATAATATTTATGAGACCATCTAAATTTATAGAAGTATTTCAAATTCCAAACATCTGGAGATAGTGTTATTTAAAAAGCAAAATCCCAGCAAACGGTGAATATAAACTCAAGCTTTTTGTTTCCCTTTTGATAATCAACTAACTTTTTGTTTATTTTGACAAGTTTAAGATATGCAGAAACATTCATAGAATGATTTGTATTCAATGTAACCACTGCCTAGAATTCACATTTGTCATTTCTGCTTCAGATTCATTTTAAAAATAGAACTTTTTTAAAAAGTTGATAAATAAGACATACAGACAGCCAACAAGTACAAGAAAAGATGCTCAACATTTCTAATCATCAGGGAAATGCAAATTAAAACCACAATTGTATATCACCTGACACCTGTTAGAATGTCTATTATCAAAAAGACAAAAAATAACAGTGTTGACTAGGAAGTAGAGAAAAGAGAATCTTTGTGCACTGTTGGTGGGAATGTAAACTGGTGTAGCCACTATGGAAAATAGTATGGAGGTTCCTCAAAAAAATAAAAATAGAATTATTATATGATCCAGAAATCCCACTTCTGGGTATTTATCTGAAGAAAGCAAAAACTCTGACTCAAATAGCTACATGCACCTCCATGTTCACTGCAGCGTTATTCACGATAGCCAAGATATGGAAACAACCTAAGTGTCCATCAGTGGATAAATGGTAAAGAAAATGTGGTATATATAATGGAATATTGTTCAGCCATAAAAAATAATGAAATCTTGCCATTTGAGACCTGAATGGACCTTGAGGACATCATGCTAAGTTAAATACATCAGACAAAGACAAATACCATATCATCTCACTTATACGTGGAAACTTAAAAGAAAAAAACAAGCTCATAGATACAAAGAACCAATTGGTGGTAGCCAGAGAGGTGGGGGTGGGTGGGGAAAATAGGTAAAAGTAGTCAAAACGTACAAACTCCCAGTTATAAAATAAATAAGTCATGAGGGTACTACATAGCAATGATAGCTAATAATACTTTACTGCATATTTGAAAGTTGCCATGAGAGTTCATCATAAAAGTTCTCAATACAAGAAAAGAAATTCTGTAATTTTGTATGGTGATAGACGTTAACTAGACTTATTGTGGTGATCATTTCACAACATATACAAATATCGAATCATGATGTTGTACATCTGAAACTAATATAATGCTGTATGTCAAATATACCTCAAAAAAAAGTTGAAATTCTCTTGTTCTCATTTTT